TCCATTGAGAATTGTTCGAGCGGGCGCGCGTATCCGCGGGGCACCTGCTGTATGTACTCGAACGGGATTCCGCCACCTCAGCGGCCGCAGTGTTCCGGGGCATCTGCGGCCGCTTTGTAATGAGCAGCTTCCGCGTCCAGCGGCTGCGAGAGGCTGTGAGCGCGCAGCCTCAACGTGGCCATGTACCCAACCCAATAAACGCGAACAGGACCATGCGTGTCTTTGAGTAATCTGTGCACACAGTCCGCGTCTCCCCTCTCCTCTCGAAGCGCGATTAAACACCCTAAATAAAGCTCTGATACCTAAATTTTGCATTGCATTAAAAGTTTATGTTTGAGCCCAAAAGTAATATGTTGTGAACAAATTAAACAGATTTAGAGCCAGCAAATGGCTGACAATATGCATTTCAGTCTTTTTTGACCAATTCTCATCCCTGTAACAAACAATAGTGTTGTCTGTGTCCACCTCCCTCACTCTGAGACATGTTCATTACCCTCTTGTAATGTAGACTATTGCATTTTATTTTATTGTTGAAACTGCACATATCCTGATCCTCTACAGTATTTGCTTCCACATACTGTATAAACTAGGAGTCGGCAACTTGCGGCTCCAGAGGTGCATGCGTCTTTTTCCTTCTGTAGAAGGAAAAACGTTCTTAACGTTTTTAAATGCTGTAAAAATTAATATTCAATTTAAACATTTATGTCAACGTAGTGTGTCATATCCTGCGACGTAGGCCCGTGCCAGGCGGTAGCTGTTGTAAACAAACTGGCGTGTGAGCTCTGCTTGTGTACAAGTCTCTCCATGGCCTCGGACCAAAATATATTAGTGACATGTTAGTCCCATATGAACCAGCCCGGACTCTGAGGAGCACAGGGACTGGACTCCTGCTGGGACTCTGAGGAGCACAGGGACTGGACTCCTGCTGGGACTCTGAGGAGCACAGGGACTGGACTCCTGCTGGGACTCTGAGGAGCACAGGGACTGGACTCCTGTTAGTGCCCCGAGTCAGAACTAAACATGGGGAGGCTGCTTTTCAGATTCATGCTGCTAAAATCTGGAACAGTCTTCCTGAAGATGTGAGACAGGCCTCCTCAATGACATTGTTTAAAACCAGGTTAAAAAAACAGTTCTGTTTAGCTGTGCATACAACTGAGGGATTTTATATTTTTAGCTTTCTTTTTAATGTTCTGTGATTATTTATGATTTTAATGCTTTCTTATTTTGTTCAGCACTTTGAATTGCCTTGTGTATGAATTGTGCTATATAAATAAACTTGCCTTGCCTTGCCTTGACTGTGCGCATGGATTCCAAAGCTAAAAAGAGAAGAGTCGATAATAAGACTGGACTAAGAATGAAAATTAACATTTGCTTTCAGTCAATGAGGAAGGCCTGCTTCATGTTTGCGATGTAATGAGAAGTTTCTATGAGATAATTGTATCTGTGCTTAGAAACTACGAAAATGGCCGCTCGGGGTGGAGTTGAACCTGTGTCACCTGGATGGGGGGGTGGTCAAAAGCGCTTCATTTGAATTTAAAGAGACAGCGCCAAAACAGGTTGCTCTCAGACGCACCTCAGAACAGGTGTAGAAGAAAGGCCCGTGGAGCTACAAATAATGAGACTCAGACCCAGGCATTGCAGTTACGCTTTATATAGACCACAAATTAATGATTTAGATGTAAAAATCAATTATTTGAAAACACAATATGTCCACTTTAAAAGAAAAAAGTGAATGGATGGTGATGATGCTACGCCAGTGTGATCGGCCTTTTGCTTTTGAGATCAACCTGGAGTGGAGTGAATAGAACAATATTGGTACTCCAAAAACATCGTAAAGTGCTTTTGGTAACCTCTATTGTGTTTATTCACATGCTTTACTGTTCAGAGAGAGCATTGAGAAGCGTCGCATCTGAAAACCATTTTTGTTTTACTGAATTAAACAACAAATTAAACATATTTACTCAAGTCAAAATTTAATCAACACACCCACCAAATTAACCCACATTGACAGGCATGCACACACACAGACACACTGAGACACACATACGTACACACACAGACACACCTGCACGCGCACAAACACACAGACACACACAGGCACATAGATTAAAGCCTTGGCAAACATGAGGCTGAGTGCAGTTGTAACCAGCTGAGGAAGCACCATTCGAGGAGATAAACTGAGTAACTTTTGCAAAATAATAACTGGAATGGTAACTTCCTAAAATCACTAGAATTACCATTTAAACGTGGCATTTTAATATGATTGCATAGCGATAATTAATAATTAATTTCTCTAGTTTTAAAAGAATCTAACAATTTTCTCCTTCCAGAAATAAAGTACATTCAGACCAAGCTGAGTAATTACACATGCAAAACTAAAAGCCCTCAAACTGACTGCGCTGGGAATTCTAGTGTTAAAGGTATATAGGAGGATTTTCTACTTCCGGGTGGAACATCAAGACTATTGGTCCTCCTAATTGTCAATCATTCTGGTACAACGCTGTACTCATGCTCATCAAATAAGACCAGAGAGTTTTGTTCAAAAAATGGAGAGGGTGGTTCTTTCCTAAAATTTGGGAAAATCCTCCTATATACCTTTAACATATACGCTCAACTTTGGACTATAGAGAATATTTTTAATCCTCCTCGTTACCCAATAAGTTGCAGTATAAAGCCACAGCAGTACCACAACCCTCAGGTGTAATAGCAAACGTGTAAGTTGATCCCTCTCTGACCCTGGCTCTCCACATTACCTCTCGCTCTGACTGACTTTTAATCATGAGCCCAATTCCAGCAGCAGCAGCAGCACCATCCCTCCAGGTATTCAACCCAGGTACATTTCATTAAGTCCTCTCATCTCGTCCCATTCTGCCCACTCTGCTCTCAAAGATGCTCACTCCAGCAATAATCAGATCACTCCCTCTCCCTTCTTCAGCTCACCGCGGGGCACAAAACTAGAGGCCGATCTGAAGGCAGAGAACAGGGCACGAGGCAGGGCTGTCCATTCCCCCCCAGACTGTTTATCAATGCAATGGACGGGCAGATTTGTCACACGCGAGAAGGGCTTTTAATATGACGTAGTGGCACCTGTGATGTATAAGACCATTTTAATAAGGATTCTGACCGCGGGCTCCTTAGCCAACATCGCTCAGCTTCTAATCAACTGAGAGCTGTATAAAAAAGTGTTAAATAGGCAGAAATGTGTGGAGGTTAGCATTTTTTGAGTTGACAACCCATAGTTTAATGTATTTATTGAAGAGGGTGTGTTTTTTATAAGAAGTTGAACGTGTGTTGAAAGCGTATACCCTGCCAACACCACCAATCATGCCGAAGTTCCATTTTAATGGGCTATTCTACCGGCACATTCTCATCTATACCTCCTGCCTGCAAACAGATATACGCACTATATCCTCTCTATGGCGCTTCTCTCGACTCTCAAAGACGCCTCCCATGACACTTAGTTTCATGATGGTACACAACTACTATAATCGCAGCTGTCCTGTGACATACTGACAGAATCAAGACTGCTAATTCTGACCACCACCACTCATTCACACGCACACCAAACTCATACTAGGCAATGTGGTTGAAGTGTCTTGACACAATGACAGTTTGGCACTTCAACAGATGTTCCCAGAGGTCCCCCACAGTACTAACCAGATACTGCTCTGCTTAGCGTCTGACTTATTTGAACAGGGACAATGCATATTGATGAATATTTCTGTAAAGGTGCCAGTTTTAGCCAGCCAACTCCCTGGGCAAGGTGTGAAGATGCCATTAAACAACATACATTTAACATGTGACATAATAAGGCTACATAGCATAGAGACAGAGTGTAGGACATAAAACAAAGTTTTGACACACAATTTTTGTCTGCTCAGCTTGAGTTAGAACAATTTTGGACAGATAGAAACCAGATTTTCAGTTTTTTTATATAGCTCCTATAGTGTGCGGGATACTGATACAAATGTGCGTGTCTCTAACAGAGAGAACAGAGTCCATCACCATGCTTTAACGGTTCATGATAACACTCAAAGTGGTTGAGTGTCAAGAAATCTGCTGTGTTTTCACATTATTCTGACCAATCAGGTGGTATTGGATCATTTCCAAAGGCATGCCAAACCACATCTCAGGCCACACTAACATCCCTGGTCACACCACTGGTTGAAAAACACTGGTCTGTAGTACAATACAATATGCAAACATACACCTAAAGTCATTTTGCTCCAATATGTAGGTGTGCTAATCACATTAGCATTAGCCTCCCGCCTGGCCTCCGCGCATCTGGCCACAAGGACTCACTCCGCTGGCTTTGCTCCATCGTTAACGAGTGTGAGCTGAAGACGCACCGTGGGAGACAGGACAGCTCTCATTTACAACAGTCACCTCAGCCCCCCTCCTCCGCTCATGGTTGTCCCGGCCTGCGTCCTTCAGCGAGGCCAGGAGCTAGGGCGGCAAGGGCAACAAGGGTGGGATTGCGAGCTCCCACTCCACAGCAGATGGATGGTGCAGATCAAGCTGTTTGTGTTTGTAATTAAATCTAGCGATGCGATGGCGGGACCCGCGGCCGGCACCTTCTGCTAGGGTCATGCGCTCTCTCGCCCCCATTGTGGCTCACAATGGCATGTGTAAACTTAGGGTCCTCAACACAAGGCCGGCAAAAATGTACTTTTTTGGATATCATAGTTTAATGTCAGTGTGCCTGGCCTGTGATCATTGTTTAGATAAAATAAGTATGTTATAGAAAAAAATTCTCAAAAATGATTAATAAATAAGTAAGTACACTGGATTATAAAGTAAAACTCTGCGTTAAATAAGAAAAACTTTCTGCCAATGGAACAAGAACATATGACTTGACAAGATTTCTGAAATTAAGAAAAATAGTAGCCCCAAATGACTTATTTCCTATTTTTTCCGAGGGATTTTTCTCCAGCGTCTGAGTTTGAACATCATATTACACATCTAAAAATCACATGGAATCAATTAAGAGCAGCATAGTTATGACACCTAAATTTCACCACAGACTGTGGGAAGTTATCTGTGGTCCTCACCTGACCCGTACTGTTTGCTTTGTTCCAGGAAACCCTCTGCTGCTGAACTCGTCCCTCCAGCCCGAGCTGACGGTGGGGCGCACCTACAGCACCCCACTCTGCTTCCAGGACGGAGGGGACAAGGAGCTGTTCGACCCACTACCTGACATCAAGCTGAAGGTGCAGTCCTCCTTCATGGTGTCTGTCGGAGTGGCGGAGCGGGCCGAGTACCACAGCAAGCCCCCGTCTGAGACTTTCCCTCGGGACCTGAGCCGGGACTACGGCACGGCGGAGCGCCGGAAGAAGGGGCTCTTGACGTTAAACGGCCCGGTGGGAGTGCGCACGGAGCAGCAGCGGATCAGCGGCGTGTTCGGACACAACGGAGGACGCCTGGTGGTGCCCAACACTGGTGAGAGGCTTTGTGAGAGGGAGCTGGAACAAGTATGGTATTTGGTAGAATACGGTTTGAGGCTTCTGAATAAAAACATAAACAATAACTTAGGGAAGCAAAACACCAAAAACGGTGGTAGATAGTGAAGCAATAGATCCAAGGCACTCTAAAGTTAATGTAAAAGGCTGTTATTCAAATAATGGGCAAATTGGCAACGTGTTTTGAGGTTTGTCTTTGTCAGAGCGACACATTTTTGCCCTGACAAAGAAGGTTATTAACTTCTATTGCTTGACTACCTACCACCGTTTTTGGTGTTTAGCTCTGTTTGGACCTGCTTCCCTAAGTCTTTAACATTGAAGAACTACAGAGTTACTATATGTATATTTTTTGCCCTTCCACGCTCTTGCAGCCTCCATATGCACACATCTAGTTCTTATAAAAAGTTACTTATTGGTTGAAGAAATTCACTTATCTTAGCCTTTATTGACCGTTTCAGCCACGTTTCAAGGCCTGCCATGGTAATTACTACTGTATATCGATTTAACGTTCAATAACTTAGGAATGCAAACATTTATGTCATTGTTCTGTGTAAATCCTCTGTCAACATATCCTCATACTATGATGTCAAGGACAGAGCTGTCTTTTTGTCTTAAATTAGAAATGTGGATATTTATTGAAAAGCATATGCTGTGGAACGATACACAAGGGTGGACATTCTTCAAAAATAGACCAAAACATTAGGCTCCACCTGGGTTGATGATACTTTTAAGTTGTGCCATTTTACAGCTGTGTCTAACAGCAACTAGCTTGACATCCAGGACTTGTTTTCACAATGAGTGGTCTGAGCCTGCATGTACATTATACTGAGATAAGAGTGGTCCGAGCCTGCTCTGAGACAAGCATGGTTTGGCTTTATATACAATCAAAGAACCAGCTTGAAATTACACGTTACTTTTGCAACTGATTCACATCTAATGACGTGACTCTTTCCACAATAACATCATATTTTTGCTTAGCATTTGGAAAGACTCCTTGGCAACAGCAATTAAACAGTGGCCATTTCCTGCATGTTTTGTTTCTGCTTTCTCCCCATAGAGCGCCACTGTTTCATTAGCGGACACAAACATCCCTAACAAGCCTAACTCACGCCGAGCCAGGGAACTGCAGAGACTTCTCATTAGAACGCCATCACACCAATATACTGTTTGCAAACTGCTGTTGCCTTCACCAAGACATCACAAACTTTCCACTTCATGACTATTGTTATAAACCGCCAGCTTGGTGCGTTAAAAACAGGGAGAGTTTATTGGCCGCTATGACCTATATAGGTGCTATTCTTTGGAGTAGAATTGGATGTTAGAAGGAATTGCTTATTTTTGGGGAAAGAAAACTGTAAGCCCCAAAACAATATTGATATAAATTCCAGCTTCAAAAGACAAAGTGCCATGGTATACATGTGTATCAATCAATCCATCTCCTCTACAATAGAGTCCTTTTCATACAAAAAGTAACACAACGTTTTCACAAAAAGATACAATACTTCAGTTGTACACAGCTAAGCAGAACTGTACATAGGAGGAGTACATAGGAGCCTGTCTCACATTTTAGGGAAGACTGTTGCAGATTTCTGAAACGTTGCCTCCTCATGTGTAGTCCTGACTCAGAATCCCAGCAGGAGGCCAGTTCCTGTGAGTTGTTTCACACTGCTTTAAAGTCTAGTATCTGAGCCACAGGAAGCCAGTGCAGAGATCTGAGAACTGGTTGAATGTGATCGAATTTACTGGTTCGAGTCAGGACTTGAGCTGTAGTGTTTTGAAAACACTGCAGCCGTTCCTTTGAAAAGCCCATTGTGCAGGTCGTTACAGTAGTCTAAACATTTTAGTCTGACAAATACATGGATAAGAATCTAAAGTCTGCTTTAGATACTATGTTTTTGATTCTGGCAATGTATCCTCAGATGGTAAATGTTGCAGATTTTGTCCATTATCACCCTAGATTTCTGGCCTGTCTCTTAGGGAGAGAACTGTCAGTTTTGTATATATGTTTGTAAATATATTTTGGTATAATTATCAACCTTAATTATATGGCTCCTCACAGTAAAAGCAGAACGCTTTATTGATTTTAATATATTTTCAAATCCTTCTACCAGTTATTATTTCTTGATAACAAACCTCTCAAACCAATAATGACCACTGCCCATGGCAACGCAATTTTCATGGTAATTCAGGTGTGTAAAGATCACTCCGCAAAGTAGTCCGGCCACTTCGCCAACAAGCTTTCAGGAACACGGCGCCAGAGCTAGCCACACTAGCTATCCTAAACACACATGCACAGAGGTTTTCAGAATTATCTGTTAACGTTTTCATGACAAAAATTATTTTTTTATGCAACAAAAATGCAATTACTGTAAACCCAGAACTAACCATTAACATTGATAAAACATTTTAGGACACATTTGCAGAGGATCTGATTATGGATTTAGGTTGAGTATACTGAATATATGGGTCACCCACTGCTAATGTGCAGAATTCTTTGTTCAGTTTTCATATAGTTCGAGAGAAGCGTATATAATGAGCGGGATAATGTATAGAACGCAGGTCATTATCGGAAAATAGGTACTTTCAGGGCGGACGCAGTCTCCTCCGCTGCGTGTCAGAGGTCCGGTTCGCCCTGTCGGTACATGTTTTTTTATAATGACCCACAAATGATCCCTTACATATTATGCATACCCTGTGTGTGACAATATTTACGTTTTGCATTTCATGTTGGAGAGAAAGATTTTTTATGAGACAAAGCCTAGTACAGTTTTCTAAAAGCAGAAATATTTGCTGAACATGAATCGAAAATAGTCTTTGGTCCAATCCAGGAGTTTCCGGCACTGAGAGAATAGCAGATGACAAGTGCTTTTTGGATGAAGTGCCAGTTTTCTCGCCTCAACTGAGAACACACCGATGCCTTTATCCACCACACTGCTCACGAGCTTTGCTTTTATTCTTGCTAATAAATTATTTAGTTGAAGGCTGCTTTGAGATACACTTTCTGTATGTGTTTGTGAATGCGTTCTCATATACTCCGAGATTTTGGATTATTCAGCTATTATAGAGCGCACAGTTTAGTGTCCTGGGGTGTGTACCAGAGAAACTTTCAGTTGTCAAAGGCAGTAAAGAGTCATTTTTATTTTGTGTTTTGCCTTGTCCTATAGACAAAGGATTGTTGGAAAGCCACAACTCTGGCAACACAAAACAAGTATTCTTTCTAACATCTGCAAATTAACATTGATGAAACGCATGTCCTGTTTTTTTTTTTTTTCATTAACTTGCATGGCCTTGTTCAATTTAAACGTTGTTCAGAATGGATCGGATTCTGGGTCTGTCAATCTATGCGTTGAAATTTTGACATTTGAAAGGTTTACATAAATACATTATGAGTGATACTAGTAAGAACTGTTTTTTAGGGGTCCACCAGTGTTCCCCGAGTTAATTGGGAGTGCACACAGGCCTAAAAATGTACCCCCATCTAATCCGTCCAATCTCTTGTTTTTCAAACCTGATACACAATTAGAAATCTTTAGCTTTATAAAGCCTCTGGTGTAAGGTGGGATGAGATAGGAGAGAGGAGGGAGGAGGAAAGAGAGTAGAGGAAGGAGGGAGGAGGAAAGAGAGTAGAGGAAGGAGGGAGGAGGAAGAAGAGTTGAAAGACCCAAAGAAAATGGTGACTTATAGGCTCTTTCTTACAATTATGCATTCGATAACACATGCTATAATAAGAGGAACACAGCATATACAATATGTCTGTTTTCTTCTGTTGGGGCAAACAAAATGTATCATGTAGTGTATTGCATTGTAAGTGAAGTACCCAAGCTTTAAGGGCCTAAGTGAATACTAATAATAATTCAAACTGTTTATCACAGGGTTTCTCAAACTGGGGTACGCGTACCCCTAGTGGTACGCGGGCGCCCTCTAGGGGTACGCCAAAGAATCTGTGAAAAAAAAAAAAAAAAAAAAAAAAAAAATTCACAATTTTACCAGGAAAGTCCCATTGAGATTAACTCATTGACAGCCATGGATGTCATTTGAGGACAACATTGTTTTTCAATATTTTCCTGTCAGTCTGTGTCCCCTGTATCATACAGTCTGGGGTTTGGCTGTAGACAGTATTTTATTAAGCCAGCAGGTGGCAGCAGAACTCCCTGGTTTGGTCAAAGATCACTCTGAGCACTCTGAGCAGGAGAGACAGAGGTGAAGCAGACATGGAGTAATATAGTCAGGGTCAGGCTACATTTGGAGGCAGTTTGAGCAGTAAATGTGTCTCCAGAGCTGACAGAGACCATGTGGAGGGTCCTAGCAGCAGACCATGTGGAGGGTCAGGACAGCAGACCAGTGGAGCACCTCAAAAAAGCCACAGAAAAGTGGACTATTGCTAAAATTATCACTGAGTCCACACCAGGAGCCAGTAGCAAAGTCCAGATATGGTCACAGCGCACACCGGACTAAACAGACGCTCTGTAGATGTAACCACATAAAAACACACAAACGCGTGCATAAACGCACATACATGCACGCCCAAACACACAAAGACACACAGCAGTATTCTGTTGCACTTATACTATAAGTATAAGTATTCACTTTGATTTATTGTCATGTATAGTGTTTATCATTGTAATTTTGTTATTCTTTGATTTACTCTTATTGACATAAATATAGTGCCACCTAATGGATGAATACTGGCCATTCTATCTGGCATAGTTTGTTATGGGCTCTACTTTCAATATGTACATTTTGACATTTTTTGGATGAGTACATTTTGAAATTTTTGAGCAACACTTTGTGGATGTGGGTGTGTGTGCCATAAAACTTATTATTTTACATTAAAAACACTTTCTCAAAACGTGTTGCTGTTTTCTAACATGTGTGATCCTGGACATGTTTGAGGAGATGCTAAAGTTAAACTAAATAGTTTTACAATCACTTTTCTGCAGTTCGTCTGTTTTCACAAAAACCTAATTTTCTAATTTTTTT